ATATAGTCACCACAAATATGCAAGAGTTTGAAGGAGGATGTTTGTACATGAGTAACCACAGGAAGGAAGCTGAGCAACTATTGTTGCATGGTGGGGATTGCAATTATTGAGATGAAACAAAACATATGATTTGTTGAATGTAAAACTGATTATCTTGTCTATAAACTTTTTACCAATTCTCAATGAAAAAAAGTTTTATGAGAAGAGAAGGTAACAATTTGTATTATGTGCACTTTTAGGTAAAAAAAGTTCTGGATATCCCTAAGAACCACTGTTTGTCTATCAGTTTGTCATACTGTAGTGACTTGCGTGTTGCTGTGATGCTGGAAGCTATGCTGCCAGTATTTTAAATACCAGCAGTATCACCCTTGATTAATAGATTCCATGGGATCTCGCACACTAAGATAGACTAAAAAGAAGAAGAGATACAGACCACTTAGGTAAGGCTAGCCACTGAAAACCTTATGAATAGCAGTGGAACATTGCCTGGTATTTTTCTAGACGATGAATTCTTTAGGTTAGAAGACACTCAAAATACAACTGGGTCAGTGTTGGCTCCTCAAAGTAGAGTTGACTTTAATGACATGGATGGAGCATGACTGACAATTAGAAACAATAATTAAATAATTAATTATCGGAATGTGGGATGCACTAAGTGTGACTCTAGGATTGTCAAAAATGAAAAGGAAAGCATAAAAATTGATATCCTAGTCATTAATAGGCTGAAATGGACAGGTATTGGTCATTTTGAATCAGATAATTGTATGGTTTACTATGCCAAGAATGACAAATTCAGAAGGAATGGTGTTGCATTCATTATAAAAAAGAACATTTCAAGATTTATCTTGAAGAACAATGCTTTCTGTGATAAAGTAATATCTATATGCCTACAATGAAGACAGGAGTCCCTGCTAACCACAATGTCAGCAGTTTAAATCTGCTAGTTTCTCCTCAGAAACCCTTTAAGGGGTCTCTATGACTCAGAATAGACTTGAGTCCATGTAACAACAACATTAGCAATGTTGTTGTTGTCCATGTTAGGTGCCTTCGAGTCAGTACCAACCCATAGCGACTTTATGTACAGCCAAACAAAACACTGCCCGATCCTGGGCCAACCTCACTACTGTTCCCATGCTTGAGTCCATCGATGCTGCCACCTTGTTGGGGGTCTTCCTCTTTTTTTCCGACTCTTCACCTTACTAAACATGATATCCTTCTCCAGCAACTGGTCCGAGGTATGAGAGATGATGTTTGGCCATCCTGGCCTCCAAGGGGCGATCTGGCTGCACTTTTCCTCCTTTTGGTAGCCTATGGCACTTCCAATATTCTCCTCCAACACCATAACTCAAAAGCATCAATTCTTCTACAGTCTTCCTTATTCACTGTCCAGCTTTCGCATCCATATGAGGTTATTGAAAATACCATAGCTTGGATCAGGCTCACCTTAGTCCTTAAGCTGACATCTTTGCTCTTCAACACTTTTAAAAGGTCTTGTGCAGCAGATTTGCCTAATGTAATACGTCATTTGATTTCTTGACTGCTGCTTCTGTGAATGTTGATAGTTGATTCAAGAAGAATGAGTGACAAACTACTTCTGAATATTTAGTCACTGAAAACCTTACAAATAGCAGAGAAACAATAGCAATACAGACGAGTTAATAAAGCTATTATTCAAAATATGTACCAACCACTAAAGTCAATGACGAAGAAAATTCTTCAGCTTCTTCAGTCTGAACTTGGTCAATTGTACTATCAAGATGCAGTGATATTTACTGGTGATTGGAATGTGAAAATTGGAACAGAGGAAGGGTAGGTAGCTAGAAAACAGGGCCATGGTGATAGATATGATGTTGAAGATTGCAGGGTAGAATTAGGCAAGACTTACTACTTAGTCATTACAGATACCTTTTTACAACAACGTGAATAACAGCTATACACATGAACCTCACCAGATGAAATACACAGGAATCAAACTGATTACATCTGTGAAAACAGACAAAGGAGAAATTCAATCTCATCAGCCAAAACAAGTCCAGGGGTAGACTGTAAAACAGAGCATCAATTGCGTATATGCAAATTCAGACTGAAGATGAAGAAAATGAAATAGAGTCCATGAGAGCCAAATTAAGACCTTGAGTATATCCTACCTAAGTTTAGAGAACATCTCAATAATAGATTTGGCATATCAGGACACTATTTACTGAAGACCAGAGGAGTTGAGGGATGACATCAAGGACATCATACATGAAGAAAGCAAAAAGCCATTAAAAAGACAAGAAAGGAATTAAAGACGAAAATGAATATGAGAGGAGACTCTGAAGCTTGTTTCTGTATGTAGAAAAGCTAGAGTGAATGGCAGAAATGATGAAATAAAATGCTGAACAAAAAAATCTCAAAGGCAGCTCAGGAAGACAAAGCAAAGTATTACAATGAAATGTGCAAAGACCAGGCATCAGTAAACCAGAAGGGGAGAACAAACTCAGTATTTCTCAAGCTGACTGAACTGAAGAAAAAATTCAAGTCTTGACTTGAAATATTGAGGGAGTCTTTGGTCAAAATATTGATTAATGCAGAAAGCATGAAAAAAGATGGAGGGAATACACATAGTCGCTTTACTAAGAAGAACTGGCTGATATTTAACCATTTCAAGAGGTAGCATATGATCAAGAGCCAATGGGACTGAAGGAAGACGTGCACTGAAAGCATTGGCAAAGAACATGGCTCTGGGAATTGATGGAATACAAATGGAAATGTTTCAACAAGAGTAAAGATGTCACTTTGAGGACTAAGGTACACCTGGCCCAAGTCATGATATTTTTAATTGCTTTATATGCATGTAAAAGCTAGACCATGAAAAAAGAAGACCATAGAAGAAATGATGTGGTTGCATTGAATTATGATTTGAATTATGGTGTTGGCAAAAAACAGTGAAAATATGGATTGCTAGAATAACAAACTGTTTTAGAAGAAGTACAGTTAAATGCTTCTTGAAAGCAAGAAAGGTTGTCTTTGTCTCATGTACTTTGGACATTATCAAGAAGGACCAGTACCTGGAAAAGGATATCCTGCATGGCTAAGTAGAAGATCAATGAAGAAGAAGATCCCTGTCATGGATTGAATTGTGTTGCCTGAGATCTGGGTCAACTTGGCTGGGCCATGACTCTCATTGGTTTTACAGTTAAGTAATGATGTCATGTAGTAGTTATGTAATTATGTTGTTATTGTTGTTAAGTGCTATTGAGTCAGTTTCGACCCATAGTGACCCTGTATAGGGTTTCTGAGGAGCAGCTGGTGAGCTTGCACATCTGACTTTGCTGTTCAAACTGACTTTGCAGTACAGTGAATTAACCACAGTGCCACACAAAGATTCCATATGTAATTATGTAATCACCTCCGAATACACGATCTGGTATGATCAGCTCTGAGCTGATATAATTATTTTATGTGTTGTAAATGCTCTCTTTTATTATGTTAATGAGGCTGGCTGCAATCTGCAGGATTAGGTTGTCTCTGGAGCCACTCTCTTTTGTGATATAAAAGAGATTAAACAAGTACACAGAGCTCAGAGCTACTTACTACCATCAAGAAAGAAGAGTTGGCAGTGGAATATGTTCTTTAGATCTGGGACTCTGTGCAGGGAAGCTCTGAGATCCAGAGGATGATTGATACCAAGACACATAGTGATATCCAAGGAATGTTGGACCTATAGACATTGAAAGATGACAAGAACCTTTCTCCAGAGCCAACAAAGAAAGAAAGCCTTCATCTAGAGTTGGCACTCTGAATTGGGGCTTGAAGCTTTCCAATCTAGGAAGAAAGAATAAATGTCTGTTTGTTGAAGACATGCACTTGTATTATTTCTTTTATAGCAGCACTAGATATCTAAGACAACATTTGATAAACTATCTTGAAACAGTGGCTGCAACAATGGGTGTAAACATAGCAATTGTGAGGAAGATGTAGGATCAGGCAGTGTTCCCTCTGCTTTACAAAGGTTTGCTGAGTTGGCGTCAACTCAATGGCACCTTACAACAATAACATGCATTTTGTGTGCTTCACAAACAAACCAAATCAACTCAGTCCTGTCAAGTAAATTCCTATTTATAGTAAGTGACACAATATATCTCTATGTCTTGAACCAAATCACCTGAATTGATACAGTCATCTGAAGCATTTTCTATATTTGAGAAAGATAAAATATGAACCAAATAAAGTATATGAAACAAAATATATGAAATACTTTGCTACTTTTTTCTTGAGTTATTCCCCCCAAAAGGCAGGCTCTGCAACATAGGCTCTACTACATATATTGTCACATCTGATATCCTGACCTTCAAAAGTTTTCTTTAATGTTTGCTATTCAGCTATCCTGCTGCAACTTTGTCCTGTTTCCTAGTCATCCAATGCTTGTTCTTTGCTACCTGAGATGTGGTAAACTCTTCTGTAGCATGTTTCTCAGAGCTGCTTTTACTTCTTTGTTCTTCAGACTGTAGACAAGGGGATTGACTAGGGGAGTGACCACACTGTACTGCATGGAGAAAATCAGCTCCCATGGGTAACCTGATGTTGTCATAAGATAGCGAAGAAAACCTGAGCCATAAAATAAGCTCACTGTGGTGAGGTGGGAAGAACAGGTAGAGAAGGCTTTACTTCTGCCTGTGGTGGAGCTAATGCTCAGGAGTGTGGAGACAATGCGGGCGTAAGAGAAGAAAACCAGGAGGAAGGACCCAAAGGCATGCAGGAGGGCCGAACAGAGAAGGACTGTAAAATTAGTAGAGCTATTGGAGCAGGAGAGAGGGAATAGAGAAGGTATCTCACAGCTGAAGTTGGGTATGACTTGAGTCTCACAAAAGTCCAAATTCCCAGCTAGAAGTGTGTTGATGAGAGCATCCAAAAAGGCCAGGACCCAGGACGCCCACACCAGCCCCACACAGAGCTGGTTGCTCATCATTTGACCATATATAAGAGGGTAGCAGATGGCAGCATATCGGTCATAGGCCATCACTGCAAGAAGACAGAGCTCTGTTCCCCCAGAGTCAAGCACAAAGAAGGCCTGGGTCAAGCAGTCCTCCACAGAAATGGTTTTCTTCTCAGATAGGAGGTTCTCCAGTATCTTGGGCACAGTGACTGAAGAGTAACAGAGATCCAGGAAGGACAGGTGACTCAAGAAGAAGTACATGGGCGTATGGAGGTGGAAATTGGTCCTGATAATCATGATAATCAACAGGTTTCCTGACAGGGTCAGGAGGTAAATCACCAGGAAAAGCACAAAGAATAGGGCCTTGGTGTGATGACCAGCAGGCAGTCCCAGGAGGAGAAACTCAACAATGGCACTGTGGTTTCTCAAGGCCATTTAGAGAGGACAACCCTTTGGAAGAAAACAGAAAGAAGAGTGAAGCATCAACTGACTCCTCCTACAACCCAGAGGCCATTCTATGTACACTTTTCTTCAATTGCTCAACATTGCCACCATTTTCTAATAACTCTCTTGGGATCTCTTCCCTTCTCTTCTCTGATTTCCTGACACAGAAGTTCTGAACTCTTTGTGCTCTTTCCAGTTCTCTTTCTTTTACTACAAACAGATCTTGAAAACTTCATGAACATTTTCAGACCTGGTTCATGGATGATGTTCCATCTCCTTGAACTGGGTCTTTGCTTTTGTTGTGTAACATTGTAGTCATGAGTTTGCTTTCTGTAAAAGTTTTCTAATCCTTCTTCTACTCCTTAGTCTAAGTCTTTCCCTTTCTTTTCAACATTTTATGTTGGTTCATTACTATTTAATGGTGTCTTGGTGTGGAGCTGTAGGATAAGCACTGGACCACAAGCTCAGTTTGAATCACAAGGTTGGTGGTTCAAATTCACCAGCCACTCCTTGAAAACCCTATATAGGGTCATAATGAGTTGGAACTGACTTGATGGCAGTTAACAACAACAAACACCTATTCGACAGTAACCATTTGTGTGATCTTTTCCCTTTTGATGATTCTTTTCCATGTATTATCTCAGTGCAATTATTCTTTATTTCAAAGCAATAATTTTCTCTCTATGTATGTGTATGTTGGGGAGTTGAGATAAGGTAGAACATTGCCAAACCTGTTTTTTAAAGCTAAAGTAAAACTGAGTTTCTCATATTCTTTTTCAAGAGAAAGGAAGCCAGATCCTGAGAGAAAATTTTGGATACAGTACTCAAATAGAGAATATGTAACAAACACCTATGAGTCAATAATAAAAATGACAAACAATCCAATACAAAAATATGGGCAAAAAAAAAAAAAAAAGAAAGAAAGAATATTCATAAAGAAAGGTACCTGGGGTCAGTAAATGTATGGAAAGATGTTCAGCATCATTAGTCATTAAATAGTGTAGTGTTTACGAATCGGGCTGCGAACCTCAAGGTCATCAGTTTGAAACTACCAACTTTTCCGCAGGAGAAAGATGAGGCTTTCTGCTCCCGTGAAGATTTACAGCCTCAGAAACATTGTACAGTGTCGCTATAAGTCAGTTCTAACTCCATGTCACATAACTACCACCACCACTGTCTAAAACCTGTTACCATTCAGCTACGGCTTGTACAACAGTACTATGTAGGGTTTTCTTGGTTATAGTCTATGGAAGTTAATCATTCAACTATTAGCCAAAAGACTAGTGGCTCAAATCTACCCAGAGGTACCTCAAAACACAAGCGTGGTGAACTTTTTCTGAAAAGTCACTACCTAACAAGCAGTTCTACTCACTACACATGAGGTCACTACGAGTTGAAATCCTTCAACGCAACTAACAACAGCAATCCTTCTGGAAGCCGATCTCTAGGCCTTTCTTTTGTGATGCCACAGGGTGGGTTAGCACCACCAACCTTTAGTTTAATAGTCAAGTGAAAACCATTTGTGCCACCAGGAGTTGGAGAATGTTCTAGGTTTTTAAAAGATATTAATTTTTTTCCTATTTATTTATCACGAAGCAAAATGAGAAGAACATGTTATCCCAATCTTTAAATTGAGGAAACCAAAGCTAACAATACTTCAGTAACTTGTTGGTGTTGACAGAGTAAATGGCTGGCTAAACCTTATCTTTATCCCAGGTCTATAGAACCACAATCTTTGTGGTTGTTTTTTTTTTTGCATCGTGGCTGCCTGACTCCCATTTTCAAAAGTGTTTCTGCTTTTCTCCACTGTGTTTTCTAATTTAACAACTTACTCTCTAAACTGTGTTGTGTCTTCATTTGGATACTAACTTTACTTTGGAATTTAGTAATATGTGTTTTTCTTTTCTTTCATTAAACTGCATGTTTCTTGAGGATAGGGATCAAGTTCTGCCTTAGTACTCTGAACACACATTGCAGTGATAGGCATCTGATGGGTCCTTAATCAACATTTATTCAATGTAGAAAGGATGGAAAAGATGAAACAAAGAAACCAGACTATCTAGGGCCTGTCTTGGAAGAATCCTCCCAGACTGAATATCTGTCTTAGAAGTTAACCAAGCAGGAAGGAGGCTGGAAAGGAGAAGAAACAAGGAGTGCATCTTGTAACTGTAAAGATTTAGTATTAGATTGATGTACTGGGAAAGTAACCGGTGCCTACAGATATCTGGCCCACAGGATGTAGACCACACCTATTAGCTCACTTTTGTCCACTTCAGAAAGGTTGTTTAAAACCAAAATATTCATCCATCTATTTATTTACTTATTCATATATATATATCCATTAATTAGTTGTTTATTTAACCTTTCATTTATTTACCCCATCATCTATCACATTCAGTCACCTATCCATGTATCTATCATTCAATACCTTAATTCATTCATCCAATAATCAATAAATAATTATGGATTAGATTGTTCCAGGTACTTAAAAGAAATCAGGTCTGTGTCAAACTTCTAGTGACTTGTTACATGAATGTATTTACTTTTCCTGGATTTCAAATAACACTTTCCTATTATCCATGGTAGAATAATATCCTTGCTAGCCTCTTTCCTCATACCAAGCTTGAAACTTTACTCTCAGACTCTGTTCCTTCATGAGCTCCCTTGCCTGGAATGTTAGTTTCTTATATTATTCCTTGCCCACTTAGACTCTGAATCTACTGTAAATCCATCAGCTTTCTTAATAACGAGAGGTGATGCTGCATTGCTCATAAATCTCACAACAACATGTTTCATTCCTGTTAGGACAGCTCATAAATTAGTCCTTGGTCTTCCTGGATTTCCTCACTATTGTTTTGTAGTATTTAGGAATCTTCTCATATTCCAAACTCTTCTCAGATCTCAGATCCAGGTTACCTCTCAGTTTTATCTAATGGTCAGTCCAGGATGGTGGCTCAAGTTCATTCAGACTGCAGTGAAGAAGAATCAAATGGAAAAGTCAATTTTTAGCTGCCCGTTTCATATCTGTGTTTGTAAAATCCTGTTGAAATAAACAATTTCTCTGACGTCTACATTAGCAAATTGTTGTTGTTGTTTTGAAGTGCCGTCAAGTCAATTCTGACCCATAGTGACCCTGTTTCCGAGGAGGCAACTGGTGAGCTTGAACCAATGACCTTGCAGTTTAAACGCTTTGCAGTTTGGTGCATTAACCCACAGTGCCACATTGGTACAAATTAGGTCCATTCAATTCAAGAAAAAATTTCTGAGAACTTTCAATTTGTTGCCTAAATTTAGGTAAATAACTGCTTCAATTGTACCACATTTAATTTCAGGGTAGATATAACCCACATAAGGCAGGCAGAAGTCCATTTTGTGCAATTCCAGGACCTGCTCATCTCAAGTACTAATTCTCTGGTGACAAAGTGAGGACAAGTCTTATGTAAACTTTTCAGTGAATGGCAAACACAAAATTCCAAATTCTGCTCACCTCTCTGAAGACAGCATACAGTGTCGTCAATTCACACTGAAGTCTGAATGACTATTTTGGAATTTAGAAAAGGGGAAAGAGGGAAGAAGTTTTTCTGTGTCTAGAGACAATAGTGTTAGGTCCAGAAGTGGAGCCTAGTGCTCTCCTCTTAATATGGTACCTAATTTACCAAGGACAGCGCTTCACAGATGGCTGCTTATTGGTATCCTGTCTATGTTTTTGCCATAGATAAGTGGAGCAGGAGGATGGATTTTTAAAATTAATTTTAAGAAAAAACAACCATACAATTTGTACTGAAATTTCACCACTGGAAATTCATGCTTTTCAAAATAATTTGTGTCTAAATTTAAAATGCAGCCAGCTCTAGAAGGCATAGTTCAATTTGTATATTATCGACTGCTTTTTATTTCTAGAGATACAGACAGCTGAAGACCATGTCTAAATACATCTATCTCTCTAGTGTAGTTACACAGAAAATGTTAATTACTTGAAAAACTGTCTGGGAAGATAGATTAATTAGGATAGAAGAAGAGAAAGGTCTAGTGTCAGAAACAAAAAATAGAGGTACGTGAATGGGGAGAAATAAAGTTCATAAAAGATCGACTTCACCTACCTCAATATTTACCCCTGTAACTTCTGTCCTTGTTACATTCTCCTTTCACCATCCGTAATATTGAGATCAGAACTGATAGAGTGGTCAATAGAAGCAAGAACATTAACTCTCACAAGCATATTAGATTAGAATTTTAGATAAGGAAGGGGATTCTAGGTACTAGAAATTCTTTGATTACTTTCATCTGTTTTCTCCTGCCTCTCTCCAGATTCTCAGTTGCTTGTTTCAGCTTCCTTTAAACCTAAAATTTCTCGATAAGTGCAGATTTTGTAGCAAGAATTTAAGAAATCAACAAAACCAATTATCAACACTACTCTTAAAGCAAAGAGAGGCATTAATTAATCAAGAATTTGTTGTTGTTGTGTGCTGTCAAGTTGGTTCTGACTCATAGTGACCCTGGATAGGGTTTCTGAGAGGAGCTGGTGGATTTAAACTGTTTACCTTGAGGTTATGAATAGTTGATGACAAAACTCTTGGTGGAGGGGAAATTCTTAAAGCTATTATATAAATTGTATTTAGGGTCTGAACTCAGTCCTAGCATAAGGGAATGGTGATGTGCACCTGGAAGCCTCCACCGAGGAGATGGAGGGAGAAGTTCATGACAGCAATTATGGAGGATGTTACCCAGCTTCTGACACCTCTTGGTACAGAAGACATATTTTTTTTTCTCTTGTCTTTCCATGGGCTTAGAAGTCATTTTAGTTAGGCACTTTTTTTTCCCTTTCCTTTTGCTCAGGAGAACCAATTCTTCTAGAGTCCAACTACAGAAATTGTAGACTTTTTTTTTTTCTTCTTTTTCTTCCTTAGTTGGAAGTCTCAACGATGGCAAGAAAATAGACTGTTTGACAGAAGAGGTCCTGATGACTTACTTGGTCAGGCCATTCTTCCTAA